TTTGTAGAGTCTATGCGATTATTGATCAAAGCAACACATCCTTGATCACCAGCAAACTTGCCGATCAATTAAGAGCAACTGGCCCAGAAGAAAAGTATCACCTAACTACATGCAGCAGCGAGAAAGAGGCAAAGTATGGACGATGCGTGACAGGTGTAGTCCTAAAATGTTTAAAAGGAACGGAGTCAGAACTGCCCACCCTCATCGAATGCAATAACATCCCTCCATAAACGAGAGATTCCAACATCGGAGATGGCAAGGAGATTCCCACACTTCAGCGATATCGCGAATGAGATTCCGCAGCTCGATGAAAATGCCAAAATTCACCTGCTTATCGGACAAGATGCCCTGGAGTTGCTTAAAGTGAGGGAGTTCAGAAACAGGCCAAAAGGTGCCCCGTGGGTGCAAAAGACATCGTTAAGCTGGACGATAATTGGACAGATGTGCCTAGACCTAGTTGGGGCACCCGTGCACGTGCGCACCCGCCGCACCAGTCTCCTCGCGCTGAATCGTGGGAGAAGTCGACGGAGACAAACAATTACAAATTCTTGCCATGTCCTAACCAGTTTACAGTAAAAGAGAGCTTTCTTGAGCAAAAGAGAGACCTAACGGACGTGTTCATTAGGAGTCAGGAGGATAACGATGTGGGCTTATCTTGCGAAGGTCACAAACTCTTAGATATCATTGAGACTGGCGTACATAAGAACGAACAAGGGAACTGGGAAATGCCCCTACCTTTCCGCCGTAAAGATCGTCATTTACCAAACAAGTGGAGTCAAGCAGTCAACCGCTTAAATCGCCTCATCCGCACCTTAAAAAGAAAGCCTCAGATGGCAAAGGACTACGTGGAGTTCATGGGGAAGATCATCCAAAAAGGCCACACCTCCCCGGTGCCAATAGAAGAAATTACTAAGCCCCAATCTGGTCGGGTGTGGTACCTTCCGCACTTTGGAGTTTACCAACCGAAGAAACCAACTCAAATCAGAGTGGTCTTTGACTCTTCAACCGAATACCAAGGTGTGTCGCTGAACGGAGAGCTATTATCGGGTCCAGCTCTCATGAACAAACTGTTATGAGTTCTATTTTGCTTTCGGAGGGAGACAACAGCTGTCATGTGTGACATCGAACAGACGTTTCCTTCCTTTCACGATGATCCAGAGCACAGAGACTTCCTACATTTTCTCTGGTACGAAGACAATACACCCGGCAAACGGATAATGGAGTACCAAATGAATGTTCACCTCTTTGGAAATGGACCAAGCCCAGCTGTTGCTATGTTTGGTTTAAGAAAGACCGCAGCTGATGGCGAGGAGGAGTTTGGAGAAAATGCAGCAGAATTTGCGCACCGTAACTTCTATGTTGATGACCGCTTGGCATCACGGCCCACTACCAAAGAAGCAATCGATCTTGTCACCGCGACTACGGATTACGTGGAGTTCATGGGGAAGACCATCGAAAAAGGCCACGCCTCCCCGGTCCCAATAGAAGAAATTACTAAGCCCCAGTCCGGTCGGGTGTGGTACCTTCCGCACTTTGGAGTTTACCACCCGAAGAAACCAACTCAAATCAGAGTGGTCTTTGACTCTTCAGCTGAATACCAAGGTGTGTCGCTGAACAGAGAGCTATTATCGGGTGCAGCTCTCATGAACAGCCTGTTATGAGTTCTATTTCGCTTTCGGAGGGAGACAACAGTTGTCATGTGCGACATCGAACAGATGTTTCATTCCTTTCAAGTTGATCCAGAGCACAGAGACTTCCTACATTTTCTCTGGTACGAAGACAATACACCCGGCAAACGGATAATGGAGTACCAAATGAATGTTCACCTCTTTGGAAATGGACCAAGCCCAGCTGTTGCTACGTTTGGTTTAAGAAAGACCACAGCTGACGGCGAGGAGGAGTTTGGAGAAAATGCAGCCGAATTTGTGCACCGTAACTTCTATGTTGACAATGGCTTGGCATCATGGCCCACTACCAAAGAAGCAATCGATCTTGTCACCACGACTCAAGAAATGTTAGCCACCGCTAACCTAAAGCTTCATAAGGTCGTATCCAACTCAGTTGAAGTCATGGAGGCGTTCCCAGCCGAAGATAGGGGAAAGGAAGTATGAGATCTAGACCTTCGGCACGATAGCCTTCCCGCACAACGCTCTCTAGGACTCCTTTACGTTCAAGGTCTGCCTTCCCGAAAAGCCATTCACGCAACGCAAAGAAGAGTACTATCGCTTGCGAATTCAATTTATGATCCACTAGGCCTCACAGTACCAGTCCTACTTAAAGAGAAGTTATTGCTTCAGCAGCTAGTTCTCTTGGGGAAGAAAAACAATAAGGAAAAACCATTCTGGTGGGAAGACCCTCTACCAAACACGCTATTGTCGCAGTGGCAATGTTGGAGAAATTCGCTTCCTCATTTGGAGAATGTTTCAGTACCCTGCTGCTACCACCCAGCTGGTTTCAGAAAATCGTAAGAAGAGAAATCCACGCCTTTTCGGACACCAGCAAGGACGCAATTGGAGCTTCAATTTACCTAAGACGTTTTAACAATACAGGAGATATCTGCACGGCCTTGCTCTTCGGTCAGTCAAAGGTAGCACCTGCTCAGACCACAAGCATCCCCCGCCTAGAGTTGTGTGCTGCAGTCCTTACCTCGCAAGCAGTTAACAAAATCGTACAGGACATAGACATGGAGATCAATGAGATCACCTTCTACACGGACTCAAAGATCGTCCTCGGTTACCTCCAGAACGAGAGCCGGAGGTTCTACGTTTACGTCGCTAACCGTGTACAAACAATCCGGAAGATTTCCAGCCCTAAGCAGTGGAAGTATGTCAGTACAAGCGAGAACCCTGCAGACCTAAGTACACGTTGCCTGAATGCCGAAAGTCTCACAGGATTGGACTGGCTAACCGGACCAAGCTTCTTAAGAGCCAGTTTCTGTAAATATCGAAAATCCCGCGACAGTTTCAAAATTTTCAATTTCTTCATATTTTGCCCAAATAGACCCTTTAGTGAGTTATTTTCGAAAACACAATTAAAATATCCCAACACGCTTTAGTTTCTTCAAAATCGAGGAAAGTTTGAAAATCGCCATTTTGGCCTGCCGCAGTCGTTAAAAAATAGAGTAAAATTGTGCATTTTCTTTTCGCTCGTACAGCTAAATGCGTTAACGTCTACCAATGACCTTTTAGCACGTCATAACAGCATTATTGGTCTTTCTAAATTAGTAGTTTAATTTAGAAAAGGTGTTAAATTCTTCATCTTAATGACTGTTTTAACTACCCTTGTCGAAGCGCTTTTGCAAATGAGCAAATTTTAGCTAACTTCTAATCGATAGAAAGCCCACTGGTACATTGAATTTCGAGCCAAAACTGCAACAGTCTTTGAGCCTATACTTTATATTGTGTTGTGTGAAAATTTTATCCGCGGCCCGACAAAAGTGTCCCATTGAGAGACGAAAACATATGGTACAATTTAGCGTCTTCGCATTCTTCGCTTTCCTCAACGTTCTTGGGAACTTAAAAAGCGTTGCCCTCAATGCAGACGTTTCTTAACGTTTAATGCTAAGAATCCTTCAACTGCATGTCTGAATTATTCTTTCGTAAAAGATTTTTTTTTTTACAGGCTGATCAGGATATGCCCTGCAGAAGTGTAATATGCTAGATAATTAAAGACGTGTAATGCAATTAATGCCGACCGCACACAAAAAGCAAAGATAATACAGTATTTTGCGCAGTTACCATTATTTTACTCAAGGAAAGTGGAAATAATTCAATTTTCATTCTTGTTTAATCGTGAGAAAGTCGTAGAAACACCAGTAACTAACCTGCCAGGTTGATTCTGGTTTTATAAGTTCCCAGGATTATTGTAAACATAAGGCATGGGGCTCACTTCATAAAGAAGCCCACTCGCACAATATGTAAACCCATTCCATGATTACACCGAAAGCCAGTGTACTAAAAAATTACTTGAAAACAAAAGGAAGAACTTGCAGCTAGTGAATCCACAGATCAATACATACGCGAATTTGTGACCTTCTTTGGGAAAACGTACACTAACGATATTTCGTTATCGTTAGAAAACTAACGGATAGCTAACGGCTTTTCTAACGTTCTAACGGTTTGTCCAAACGTTCTAACGGTTTGTTCTGACGTTCTAACGATTTGTCCAAACGCTCTAACGATTTGTTCTAACGCTCTAACGGTTCGTTCTAACGCTCTAACGATTTGTTCCAACGCTCTAACAGTTGAATTGGTGGAAGTAATCGAGCGCTATTCCCTATTAAGCAATCTATTAACGGCTGGTTAGTTCATCTTGTTGTTATCAATGTATTGAGCGAAAGTTTTAAGTACAGCTGTCGATCGATAAACAGCTGAAAATTGAAAGCATCAAAATCACTAGTGATGTGATCAACGAGTAAAATAATAATCGAAATCGACTTGCTCTCGAAACGACTGCGCTTCAAAACAGGCCGTCCAATTTCTCCTGGAATGAAACTTCTACTGCATCGTATTGACAAGAACTACTGTTTGCAAACACGTATCTTGACTTGGGACTGTAATGTTTCCAAAAACTATATCAAGCAAGCCCCTCGATGTCTGATGAAAGTTTTTCAACAAGATGCCGTATCGGTTTCGTAAACAACTTTATGCAAATTTCGGTTGAAATTTGACTCCCGGGAATTTGAATACACAGTGAAGCGTTGTGTGACGGACAACACATGAATAAAAGCTGTATTGAATGATTGTAGACTTTTTTAATTACTAGAGAGCCTCAGTTATTTAGGACTACAAATCAAATGGAAAAAAAATTAAAATCCCAAACCTTTCCCAGCCCATGCCTCTGTTCAATATCAGCATAAAAAGCAACTCGCGTGTTCATTAATCTTTTTTATTATCGACAATGTTCTAAAACGATTACAATCTGTCCTCTAGAAAAAAAAATTCAACGTTGAAAATAAATCCTAAAAAACGCTTACAAAGTTCTTTTTGCACAATTCTTCCTTAGTTTGCCCTTTTAGCATACTTGATAGCACGACATCTATCATTGATCTTGGCTTTGATTTGTTTCCACAGTTTATCTCTTTCTGTAGTACATTCAACTGGAAATTTACTGAAAACTAAAACTCTTAGAGAATTCAGCTTGCTGCTGTCGAGCGGATGTTTACCGTGGGTCCCATCAGTATTGCTTCCTTTGAGTTCTTCATCACTAAAGAAGTATGGGAGCAGCTTTACTGCGCATCTATGCCTCTCCTTTTCTTTCTGTAATGTTGCATATACGCTTTGCACTTTTCTTGGAGTGACGCAAGTCCGAATTACATCTTCTCCCACCGGGATTTCAGGTCTTTCCATGATACTGTCAGCGTTTACGGGCCGTGATGGTGTTTCTGGGGTAGCAGGGCCTGCTGGCGTAGCTGGGATGCTGGCGTTGACTTCGTCGTGTTGTAAAGTTGCCATGGTATCCATGTCAATCGTCAAAAGTTCTTGATTCGACAACAGGCCGGAAGAGTTGTAGGTCTCTTCACTCCTGAACTATTGGAAAAAAAAGAAAAAGAATCGTAACTATTGTGTTTCCCGTATTCCAAAGCCCATTTATTCGAACTGAGCTGCATTCAAAAGGACAAAAGGAAAATAATGCTTACACGGTACGTTAGTTTGAAATAGGCGTTTCCGAGAGGCCAAACTTATTGTGTGCTAAATTCCAAGTTTTAGGCCCGGCGTCTAGCTGAGCAGTAACTCTTTCTCAGCTGTAATTTGACTTATGCCCAGCGCACTGAATAATTTTGCTACATTTTTTAAAAACTGTGCACTAAAGGAAGTAGCTACAATACGCCTTAGCGAGGTTCAACTTTTACGTTTATGCGTGACCTTCATACATTGTCTCTATTTCATTCACGCACGTAAAAATTACGCGACAGTGGAAATCCAGCTTAAGCCTTATTATTTAACTTACCACGGTCTCTAAAGATTCTAGCCGTTGCTCGATCCGTGACAACCTGCGCCCCAAGGTCTCCCCCAATGTGACAAGAGAATCTTCGAATCTGTCCATCATCTTAAGTCAAAATAAATAAATGCATAAATATAGACACACTTCCAGCAACGATACAAACTGCATTTAATGCTTTGTTTAAATTATGCCTTTCTTTCGTTTGATTTGCAACCTTACCAAGTTGATAGCAAAGTATCGTTAATATCTGAGGTAAATTCAAATTGCCCCATTCCGCGAAAAAAAATTGTCCCTCTTCGAGCAGTAACGATGAGAGAAGCGTGTCAAAAAAACACACGTCCACAAAAACTACGAAAGAAAACAGCAAGAAAAAAGCTTTTTGAGGGGGCGTGTTAGTATTTTTTGGTAACCACTGCAACTTGATTCTTGACGGAGAATAAAGAAGCTACATTGGTTTGTGCTTACCTTTAAGATTCGCTCGTGATCCAGGATCTGATTCTTTAGAAGATCGTACTCTCTTGTTTTTGCTTCAAGCTGCTTTTTAATCAGGCTGATGTTGTCTGGAGAATCAATTTTTTTCATGATGACGTCGTGGGAAGAATCAGGAGGGTTCAGTTTCTTGGTTGCGCTTTTACGTTTAGCTATCCTGCGACGTGATCTTTCTAAAGAACAAAATTAAAAAAGAAGTATTAGTTTCAGTCACCGCGAGTTAAACAGATACATAAAATTCCACAAACGTTTCAGTTTAAGCTACATTATCAAAATGTGAAAACGCTTCTTTACTCGGACTATAATCATTGACTAAAAACGGCTGTAACCGGAACTACGCTTATGACAGAAAAACACCACTCAAGGAAGATCAAACTCAAAATCAAAAAATCAAACTTTAAATTTTTGAAATGTATAGTTACCGGTAAAATATTTACCTCTTCCTTTCTCAAATCCACCACTTTAGCTGTCGCGGTAGATGGTGGCTCTGTGGTCTCCTTCGTCTTTGTCGCCTTCTCCTTGGCATTACTTTTCTCCTGAAATAAAAGAGAATTTATTTCAGTTTGTGTTTAAGGCTTAAAGGTCGTGCCAAGTTAACACATCAACATTTGAGTCAGACTACTAACATTAGTAATACAGTCGACTCCCGATAACTCGAACCCTCGCTAACTCGAACCTCGCGCTAACTCGAACCAAAATCGATTTCCCCTGGATTTCCGTCATACATGCACTGTAAGTTTACCCTCGGTAACTCGAACCCTCGATAATTCGAACTCCCGCTAACTCGAACCAATTTTCGTTTCCCCTCAGGTCATTTTCTATATAATTTTACCCTCGATAACTCGAACCATGTTTTGAGCCTTAAAAAGTCGCGAAAAAAGCCGTCTACGGACGTGCGAAACATTGAATTTTGGATTTCCTATTGACGTGTTGTAGGAGTATAGTTTACTAATGGAGGCCGATGTTGATTGTCACAGGCTAACGTGAAGCAGCTTTTTTTCTCAAAACAGTAAAACGCATGCTCTATTTAGGCTATATTTTGTTACGTTACGTTCTGATTTATAATCTAGAAGTATCTTTTAATTTTCACTTGACATTTCTACAATTGAATGTGATTAAAATGTTCACTGTGCAGTAAAAACTGTTTTTTACCTTACTCCTGGCTATTTTCTTCGAACTCCCGATAACCCGAACTCCCGATAATTCGAACCTTCTTTCGATTTCCCTTGAAGGTTCGAGTTATCGGGAATCGACTGTAATACGAAATAGAAACGTCACTAAATAGAACGTCATAATCGCGTAACCGAACAAAATAGGAGTAATACTGATCATACAGATTAACCAAACCTACTGGTCGTGATCTCTTCTTCGGAGGTTCGTTTGGTGCACTGCCGTAATCAACTTGAGCAGTTTCTTCAAGATTCCTTTTTGACCAAATCAGATCCTTCTCATTTAGTTCGTCGGTACTTTCTACAACGAGAAAAGGAAAAAACATGGTAAGTCCAGGTATCCAGTAGAAGGGCAAACCTTGCAATAGAAAAACGCAGTTAACAGTTACTTAATTTACTTACCACTTAATGCGATGATTTCAGCTTCCACTCTTTCCCCTTGCCAGTTAACAGTAACAGTTCCTCCAATAACAACGTTATTTTTTTGCAAGATAATTTTTGTAGGGGCAATTCCAGTCATATTATCTTCAGGAAAGAAGAAGAGAGCTTTTGACGGTAAGTTTGTCTCGCGCAACAATTTTCGAAGAGCCATTATCATCCGGCACGCGAACAGAAATGAAATTTCATCTTATGTGTGAGACCTTTTATTCTGTTTCCGTGGATTGCTATTATCAGCGAAGGATCATAATTACCGAAACGCATTGGCTACTGTGCTTCCTTTGTTGACAGTCCGAGGTACTTCATTGGTTGTGTTACGTGTTAGTTATTTTCTTTAATTTGTGGTTGGTGGTTTTCGATCCGACGCATTGTTGTCATTGTTTGAGGACGAAATTGTTTCCTCAGCGGTCCGTTTTGATACCGATCGACTGTTGTGCTGTCAGGTCAGAGCCATCCACGCTAAATTTGCTAGTCCTTCTTAAATTAAAATGCCTAACGGCCGAAGGAGTTCGATTGAGCTCGGTATTATTTTGACTCGTTTCATTAAGTTTGTTTGTTTCGTTAGTCGGAGTATTAGAAAACGAGAGTTTAATTTTGTTCGATTACCGAACTTAATCCGACGATTTTTGAGCTCGATCGTGTTAGATAAGTTCAATCAAGTTCGATTGATTCGGTAATCGAACTCATGAAGAGTACTATTTAATTATGCTCGCAAACTCAATCGAACTTAATAGTACCGTTGAACCCGATTACCCGAAAAATTGATCGACCAAGTGTTCATGTTTTACAAGATCTATAAAGGGCTTGTTGGTATTTCCCTACCACCTGAAATATCTCACAATAAAAGAGCTTCAAGATCTCCTAATTGTGCACCATTTCACCAACTCGCCACAATGAACGATGCAAATAAATTTTCCTTTTGTCTTAGAACTATCAGAACTTGTAATAGTGTACCCTTACCTGTAATCCCTGATTTATTAGAGGAACGTAAAGCCATTATCTCTAGCATGTAGGATTAAGGGTATACTCATTAAAGTTCGATTGACTACACCGTGTTTCACTCGGTTCATACATCGGGTTTAGTTAACTGAACATAACTGCTAAAAGAAACAACAGAAAATATCGCAAAAAAATTACTCAGTAGAACTTCATTGTTTTATTACATCAGTAAGTACGACTGGTGTATATACAATAACTGCAATAATAATCCTAATTCTCTTACAGCGTTGGATTGAATTATGAAAAGTCACATCTACAGAGATATCAAAATAATGATCATGGAACTGGTGCAACTAAGTCTTCCGTTCCAGGCTTACAAAACTGCCTGATTTCGCGATACAAGTAATTTCGACGTTCCTCGCTTAAACCTTCTGGGTTGATCTTTTGTGGAAGCACTGAACCTGGAGGGATAGCAACGCCATTCCTTAGTAAAAAAAAAGCTTGTTTCGGAGATGACAAAAACTCTCGGCAGTAGACGACGCCTGGTTCATCCTTTGAAAATCGAAAGTGGTGAAATTTTTTAATATTCGGGAGTTTTTTAAAATACTGTCCCAGAAAAGTGCTCCAGTCATATACAGGTACTATGACTCGGCCATCGTGAGTGGCTACCAGTTGAGCTTTGTTGACTCCTGCGTTACTTGACGTGTCCACCATTCTAGCAAGTTCATAAAGTGAAGAAATAAAACTGACTTTGAACGACTTCTTAAGAATCCCGAAACAACGATCTGGGCCAAATTTAGTATGTCCAGCAATGAGAAAGGAGTAGTTTATATTACGATGAAGTTCAGTTGCAGTCCGCCATGCTAAATACCATAAAAAGTAATTGTTTTTGTTCTGTCCCGAACAATTATCAGCATTTAAGTGAACATCTGTTTCCCCCAGACCATGACGCGAAAAGAAGTGATGAACGTAACTTATTGTAGCATTGGCCCCCTTACCAACAGTCGCAGCTTCGTCAATTAAATAGTTTATTTGACGGGGTACACCTTCGCACATGACTCCGAAAATTCCACATTTGCGAGGGGTCTTAAAATAGATCGGCCCGGGTTGCATCGGGTTGCTTGGAAAGTGGACTTGTTGCGTATAATCAAAAGAGTAATGCATGGTGCCATTAAATGAACACGGTTCATGTTCTTCGTTCAAATTCATTTCCTCTTCTATTTGCTTGAAAGTCGCTGCTGAATCTAAACAAGTTTGTCTGTAAAAGTCTCTCTCAGTCTGGGCGCAGTCCAAATGTTCCTGTTGGGCTTTTATGTAGTCAGCCTTTTCGTGCTCAGGAAGGTTTGCGGCCCGTACAAGTTTGGTTGTATTCTGCTGACAAGTAAAGCACAGATCGGTCAATGGTTTTGCCACAACAACGTTTGGACAAAACTGCTGCCAAAGATCGACCAATTTGCTGTAGCTAACGGATTGTTCTCCAGAAGTCTCGCAAGTGGCAGTGTACACACGCCAAACACTCATTTTTGTTTCGCTTGAAGACAACACCTTTACATCCTCGGACTTGAATCCAGGTATTCTTCCAGGTAGAACAAATGCGTTCTCTTCTACGTAATTAGTTAGAAAATTATGAACGTTCTCTGTGGTTGACTGGGGAAGAGTGTTACTGGGAAGCCTTTTGGTGTTTCCAAGGGTTCGCGGATAGATACCATGCGTCTCGTAATGTTCCTTGAGTCGACGAAGTCGAGAATAACTTATACCATGAAGGTGAAGAAACATCTCTTTGCAAATCAGGACAGACTGAAACTGATACGTGCATCTTGAAGTTCCGTTTCTCTTAGTTCCAACGTAGTCGTTGCGTGTGAAAGCTTGTATGTTGGCTAAAATTATCAAGTCGAGCTCTCCACTTGTCAACTCGAGACAGTTATTGAGATTAAATAGCACCGTTTCTTCTCTAAATTCTCTTGAACAGGGACCCCCTTTCGAACCACGCGAACATCCACAGCCTTCACGTAGGAATTTTTTAGCTCTCTCGATTACCGCGTTAGGAGTTTCTTCTCTCACTATACTTTCGGTGTCTGCCATACTTTGTCACTTTCGTGTAATGCCCGCGAGTAAACAAGTGCACGCCAGTTAAAGCGTCATTTGTTGTCATGGAAATTATACATTTGCCTGCCGATTCCGCTTGGGACTTGGGGACAGTTTTGTTGTTTATTGAACGCGAGCTGCAGTCATATTGCGATATTCTCTTATCTATTTTTTGTCTCTTTCTGTCGCCGCTTTCAGCCCCGACGAGCGGCTCCCACATTACATTAAAGCGGCATTCAATCGAAATTAAGTTTTAGGACGGTTACATATACTTGGCAAAGTCTGCCACACAGCCACAGCCATTCTTTGTGTTGAGCGTTGCGTGACGACACAAAGAACTGTTGTGTAGCAGAACGAAAAGTTGTTTTATTTCGTCTAAGTCTATCTTTTAAAAAGAAATTGCCACAAAACGTACCAAAAAAGGAGAAGGACATAGATACAACCTGAATAAATGATCTAAGAAATCTCCGAGTCAACTGAGTGTACCGTTCGTATCGAGATCGAAAACGGAACAATCTGATCAATAGTTGTAGATGCAAGAAAAATTTGCATATATCATGTGTAATTTCAATTAACCAACAATGGATCTTGCTTGCTTGCATCTTTTCATTTAAAAATACACACAACAGCAACGTTTCTAAAGGCAAAAAGACGGGAAGAAGGTCATGACTTTTATACCGAAGGTTTTCCTGCAACCATTCAATTCATTCGAGATCAATTAGCGGAAGTCTGCAGAGAAGCGGATTTCAAGACGTGTGCTTGTTTGTTTACTTCTTATCGTCGGTATCTTTTGCCTACAGCCCGACGAACAAGCATTTTGATATTAATTTTTCGTTTCAAAAGCGTGAAACAGTAGGGAATTGTGTCGTTCGTTCACTGGACGTTGGGAAAGCGGGTTTGGCAAGAATCACTAGTTTCAGGTTCGATCGCGGGCTCCTTGTTTATAATTTTCGTCGCCAGCTGGGCTTAATAAAATTGTCGTAGAAACCTCTGGCGACAGGGCGCCCCATAAGGCAGCGGCCTTGATCAGCAAAGCAATAGAATCGTCAGTTAACGCTTTAGTTTCCTGGACTAACGCTCTAACGGATACAACTAACGCTCTAACGGATATACATGAGTTGCTAACGAATTGACTAACACCTCTCACGGATACAACTAACGCTCTAATGGCTACGGATGAGTTGCTAACGAATTGCCTAACACCTCTAACGATTTTCATTGAATCATCTAACGGATGACTAACGGACAGCTAACGGTCTAACCGTTTAACGAAATATCGTTAGTGTACGTTTTCCCAAAGAAGGTCACATTTCTTCACGCAAGCTTCAGATAAATAACGAGTAGCGATCATCAACAGATACATTTGTTTACACATGAAATCAACTACTCTACATATTCTCACCAGTCTGTTTGTAAGCTTTTTCTCAATCCTTGCGACGATGTTCCAGTCGGTGTCTCTATGGTATTCAGAATCTGTGTTTGGCATCTTGCTTTATGTCTATATTTGGCAACGATAACAGTAATTTCCAAAAAAGTAAGGCAAGATGAATCACGGCTGGATGTCTTGAAACGGCTGAATGAAAATACGGTTCTTGTAGTAAACGATTGGGCCATGAAATTTCTCCCTCAGTTGTATCGTGAATCCCAGCAAGATTGTTTCGTGAAGAGGAGGATTTCGTGGCACATATCTGTGGTTTTCCGTCGGGTGAGGGGTGAACTTCAGTCACAGAGTTTCGTGCATATCATTCAGCAGTGCAATCAAGACAGCACGTGTATTATTTTGATTATGCAGCATGTATTCAAAACCTTGAAAGCTGAACGCCCCGAGATAACGACTGCTTTCTACCGCCAAGATAACGCGGGTTGTTACCAGTGTGCAAACACCATTCTTGCATGTCCTGTCATCGGGAAGTCCACTGGAATTCAAGTATCACGTTTGGACTTGCGATCTGACAGATCGCAATCGATTTGCAATCGAAACAACCTGCTCGTCTCTTACGTCATCGGGAAACTTCGATAAATCTGGTCGGAGGAAGACGTAAGCATTTGGTTAGTTTCTACCAAACAGTCCAGGTTTAAGTATTCTCTTTATCAAAAAGTTTTTTCACTTCAGGCGGTTAAAGTTCTTAAGGGGAGCGAAATCTGTTGTTTCCTACTGCACAAGCGTTCAAATCGCGTGTCCATGGCCTTCTGTAAATATTCAACCTTTGTTGGTGGTACATGTGGAGCCAGTTCAGAAAATCCAGCTAATGTAGAATGCGTGACAATCGGGCAGTGTACACGAGAGCTCCAGGGCCATCTGAAACTCCTCAAGATTAGCGATGATCCTGGAGTTGACAGCGAGTCAAAGTTGCTGTTAATGCAAGCAGGTATGTAGCCAGCAGAGCAGGCGTTTTTTAACGAAAACTTGGAGGTACATTGATCGTGGCCGCCATCTTGAAAAGCAACGAAGAAGAATAAGGGGGAGGGGCAGTGGAGTTCTCGGTGGAGTTCTCGCGGTTCTCGAGTACGTTGTTTATAACAGCGGCCTGGAACAAGAGGTGATAGAACTGACGTTCACCATTCATCGATCAACATACCGTTGATTGTTTTTCGCAAGAATAACCTTCAATAACTATGTATTTGTTCAATTTTTTTTGTAAATGAGTAAAATGCCCAGAAAAAAAGAGGAACGTTTGCTAATTCCCTTAACCCAACCTTAACCAGGGGCGGATCCAGGTTTTTTGTTAGGAGGGGGTGCACTCGTCTCTTGCTCTACTTCAACACCAATAAACCACATAGTTTATATTTTTTTGCAGAATCCCAGTTGTATTTGAAAACGCAGGTCATCTCGAGGGGGGGGGGGTGAGCACCCCTGCACCCTCCCCCTAGATCCGCCCTTGTTAACTCACCTTTCACTCAAGTCAAAATATTGCAAAGTTTATTTTTTTTCTGAAATCCAAAAAGATAAATAGCCGGCTATGCAAAAGACTTCCTTATGAGTTTAAATGAAAGAGAAAATTAAACAATACAACGCCTCAGCCTCCCCCCTCTCCACAGGCGGCCTGTCTTTCTGTGTCCAGGCTGGGTCAAATGGATCCATGACTGTAAGCTAGCGATTCTTGATTCTTTTATAGAAAGCTTGCTCAAAAGCTAGAAACAAATGTCAGGCATAGACCTCTCATGACCAGCTTTTACCTCACCCTGATGAACTGGTTTGCTCACAGGCTAAACGCTTAAAGGATTCCACCGATATAAACCAAATACTTTTTGACAATATACCTCGTGCTGTAGCAAAGGCAACAACTATAGTATAATCAAGTCAGATATTTTTAACTTTGAAAATAACTTTGGCTCGTTCAATGAAAGAGGAGAAATGAAACCAACACCATAAGTTCAAACTATTTTGACGCATATTTAAAAAAACTATTCAATTTTTTTTGTATTTGCAAAATGTCATCAGTGTAAGTGCGGAGTGAATCGCATAAAGAGACGAAAGTGGGTTAAGGGAAAATGCTTCTCAATGCTGCCGGTGCTGTCCTAACAATTTGTAATTTTTAGCTCTGAAAACAAACACTTCCTGTATGCTTTTAGGTATATTTGAAGTCAATGACACTCATTTAACGCTGACAGTATGCCCGCGACATCGAAGTATGTTTGGAGTACGATGGCGTTGCAATAAGTCACGGTGTACTGTCCCCTCTGCTTTAGCTGTTCATGGACTTGCTGGTTCTCAGGGACAGTGTGGGTTAAAGAGTGCTCTATCTGCATATATTTTCAGCTCAACTAAGATGCTCCTCCCAGTTGGCTCACGTATGTGTTAAGACAGTTTTTAAATAGTTACACTTCTATCTAGATTTCTGCAAGACTGTAAGAAAATTGATAAGTTAGAGTCCTGCTTAGAGCAGTAGCCCGCTGAATGTGTGATTGAAATTTCTTTTAAAAATTATCATGGTTTTAGTATCTAAAAAGAGAGTGCAAGGTCTAATCTATTTGCCCCTAGGTTTTTTGTGCCCTTAGATCCGTCCGTAGATCCGTAATCACTAACTCGTGGTGTATTTTTAATTGCAGCTATATGCCGACGGTGCAGACAACATTTATCAGAACTTGTTCCTCAGACCGAGTCTGCCTCAGCGGTGCATGAACAATTGCCGATCCTACAAGAACCTGGAGAACAAGAAATCGTTGCTGAAGATCTTGAACAACACGCCCAGGAACAGGTTAGAGCTTCCATAATAATGTCTCAAATGCATACCTTGAAAAAATCATTTGTATTCTCTAAAAGTGCCTCATACATCCACGTAGACTGATGAAACACTGAAAGACGGACACTGCATCCCGGGGGAGGCACTCAGTCAAAAGGGGTTTCCTTTCAAGGCTTCCACTTGAAAATGACACCCTGTTAGAGACAATCAATAGTGAAGTTGTAGACCCTTTTTAAGTCTCAAAACCTTAAAAACCATGCCCTATGCAGCGGGTCAAACGCGTATGGACTAAATGAGTGGTCCCCCTTTCTCAGGTCGACTTCTTTGAGGACTTGTACCATGTTAGCCGCTAACATGGTACACAGTAGAGACTATATAAGTAACCGTCTGTTGCTTATGTTTGTTGTATAGATTCAAGATGATGAAGGGAGTGTCAGATCCGACGAGCTGGCCGTTAGTTTGGGGGGTTTAAAGGTGGCTGATGAGAGTTACATTCTCTCCCCCCGCGGGACGGGCAGCACTTTATCTTCATCTGGTAATGAAAATGGAGTAGCAGTAGCAGCAGCAGCATCTCGGCCCATCCTACTTGAACATCAGAACAAGTTTTTAATCCAGTGTCAGATCCAGCCTATTTGAAGGCCTTGGTTTGACTGGGATAAAGTCAGCAAAAGAAACAGACAACGATACGTAACGAGAACAAGCGATATTCTATCCACGGTCATAAAAGTCATTTCTCCAGCTAACGCGCCTTATCTTTGGAACGAAATTCAGTCATCTAGGTCCCGTTCAGCCATTTCTACCATCAGAGAGGGC